TATTTCCTAATAACCTAATATTTTTCTAATAATTCTAATAATTTCTAAAACTATACAGGTTGACATTAAAATTATTTTAAAGTATACTGTATTAAACACTAATAACAAAGATTGAAAAATGTGTGAAAAAACTACAAAGGTCAATTATATAGTGCGTAAATTGCAATTATCCGATTGCCGTGAAGTGCATGAAATCCGGGCGTCCGTCGGCTGGTCGAGATACATACGCGAATCGGAAGTTATGATGAATATCGACCCCAACGGCCAGTATGTGGCCCAGGATATAGACACCGGTATATTACTCTTGATTGTTTAAACTAGATTAATTACGAGTAGATTCGTTTCATTTGACTTTTTCCCATAATATTTTTAAACATCAATATTAAAATTTAAATGTAAAGTAAAAATTATTTTTAAGTATTTTAATTTAGTTTCATCATAAATTACAATTTCTAACATATAAAATGTCGCAAGTTAATTAATAATATTTTCATGATTAGGAAAACTGTTGGGATACATGAGTGGGGTAAACATCACTGACGATTTAGCATACGTTGGCTCCTACTGTGTGCGACCAGAATACCAGGGTCAGGGTATCGGCAAAGCATTGTGGGCTAAGACTATTGAACACTTGGGTGACAGAAATCTCGGACTTATATCTTCTAATCAAAATACATTTGAGTTTTACAGAGATGTCCATAATTTCCGGTATATTTCCGACAGACTTGCGATTATAATGATAGGCTCCCTCACACCTAACCCGCAATTTGTTGATAAAATCGATGGCATCTCTTTGGTGACCATCGATGGACACAACGTCCGCGATGTCATTGAATACGATAAACACGTTAGCGGTTTAGACCGCAGTGTACTCATTGAGAGCTTATATAAAATCCCAGAAAATATTAATTTAATAGCAATTGACGATCATGGTCATGTTGTGGGTTATTGTTTCATACTTGAAACATATAATGGAGTGTACTCTGTTGAGCCCCTGTATGCTGATAATGATCGCATCGCTGAGTTATTGGTCGGCAAATGTGTGGCACGTTTGACGCCAAACCGGAGGTTAAAGTACAAGTGTTGGACCAGTAGTGAAAAAGCACAGATGATAGGCACTAAACTTGGATTGAGCGAGGTAGTCCGAATGTGGACCATGTACACCAAAAAATTAGTAGAACCGGCTCATATTGATAAAGCCTTTTGTCCCGTTAGTGTTGACTTTTATGTCTTTTAAAAATTATAGTGTAATACATAACAATATATTGTTTGAAATTTTCATTTAAATTTTCATTGAATTATATAAAATTAGTTCATTTCTTTCTAGTATATTATGTTTACATTTTATTGGAAATTCGTGAAATAAAACATTTTCTATTGTTTATGTTTTTGTTGTATGAATAAACTGATTCTTATAACTAATTGCAATAATAAAACTAACATTCATAGGATACAGATACTCTGATTTTTATTGTGGGGCAAAAATGGACTAATTATCTTTGATAATTAATTACTGATAAAACAATCATTTATGTATTATATTATTAAATGGTCATTAAGTCGTGAGACAAATTTTAAACTATGATCGCGCGCTTAAGAATTTATTGTTGGCATCAAACTATGGTTCAATTTGTAGGCCAGTTATCACTGAATGTGAATATCATATGGATTAGTGTCAATAATTATCAGTAGAATAGTTATAATAAATGAAAGACATACCTGTCCTTAACAAGTTGTGCACTTTCATTTTAAATACAATAGGAATTGTATTCAAAATATTTTAAAATTTTATGACCAGATATACTATACTACCGTTTCCTATCACGTACAATTTAATAACGGACTGATAATTTACCAAAAGTTTACAGTGATACTCGGTTTGTGCGAGGAAACGGTAGTATAGTATATCTGGTCATACAATTTTAAAATATTTTGAATACAATACTTATTGTATTTAAAATGAAAGTGCACAACTTGTTAAGGACAGGTATTTCTTTCATTTATTATAACTATTTTACTGATAATCAATAAAACTATTGAACAATTAGGCTTTTTTTGCTACTACTCATTAAATAACTGTCATTATTACCATAAAATGCAAAATATGTGTAACAACTGATTAATATAGTATAGGTATTCCACATGAAGTACAAGAATTTTGAATAATAATTGTCATTATATTCATTAACTTCTGTATAAATATCATTTAATTCTGTTAACAATTTTAATAAATATATTCTTTTGATATTTTTAATGTTTAAGTAGAGTTTATTCAACAATATATTAATTGAATTAATTTTCAATTTTAAATAATATGTAATTACACTATAATAATATAATATATATTACAGATATAATAAACCCATAGTGAATGAAATACTACCAACAATGGAGTGGGAAATAGTAAAAATACCAAATCATCCGGCTTAGATTTATTTATCAAAATAAAGTCCATTAAAACAGTAACTATTACTGAATTAAAGTTAGCCAATGTGCTCATTTTATATACAATTAGAAACAATTTTCTTATTTTGATAACTACTTGCTTATCATTAATGCCAATACTTTTTGGTGATATGAAACCACTAAGCATTTCAAATATCCTTAAATCAGTGAAAATTACATTATTTTTATAATTATAACTGCTGACAGCTTATGCAACATAAGGTAGTTGAGCATTGTAGTATACTATTCACGGTGCCGGAGCCTAAAATATAATCCAGGTTTATTAAGTATAAGTGGAATTCAATAGAGTATTAATATTTATTTGTGTTCATAAAATATAACATCAAATACTTAATGCAATATTGAATCAAATATACCAATATAATACCAGGGTGAATAAACCATTTCCTTTTGTATTGAGATTGCGGTTGAAATAGTGATAAACCAATTGAGTGGAGATGAGTGTCAGCCCCACTTACTCGCCATTCAGGGGGTATGGGTTGACGTAAATCAAAACTTGTGGTCATAATTGTAGACATGTTTCAAGTGAAATATTTTATAAAACTAATAAATTAAATTTAACAAAAACATATATCTAATAATAAAAATATTTTTAAAGTAATATTAATGATTATATTCATATAATTATCTATTGGGAAATTTTCATATTATTTAAAAATATATTGTGAACTATTATTTTGATTGATGGTTTTGTTTACCATGAAATGTTAATTTAGTTTGAATTATTTTACTATTTTAAAACCACAGTATATGTATATTTAAATAGGCTACAGTAATTTATCTTATATTTATTGATTGTATCATTAAAATATAATTACATAAAAATATTAGAATGTTAATAGGAATTTATTAATTATGTAAATAAAGTTTTAAAATAATATAATTCTAATATATAAAATAATCTAACAATAATATGTTTAACGCTAATTTAATTTAATTTATAAATAATAACTATGCATTAATTTAATATTTTGATTTTTATTATTTAGTAAATTTTGTCAAGATAATATATTATACAGTTTAAAAATTATTGATTAATCCAATGACCA